TACCAGCTTAGTTTTTAGGCAAAATTCCCCTTGTTTTAATTCATTTATGACTAAATGTAAATGAAAAAGATGTTTCATTATTTTGTTACAGTATTATTATTATTACTGAAATGACAATAAATCCATCAGGGTAATTAATGTAGGCTACCTTTATATTTTCTTCAAACTTTATTATGCATATTTTCAAACCCGAAAAAGACACACTGCATTTGTAATATTATGTACAATATCCAACATGAATGTGTCATAGTTTCCTGGATAGTTACTGTGTCATATCCTTGTAACCCAACTGGTTTTACTTGCTCAAATCACCTGGAGTGATGTCAGAGCTGCCTGTGATCCCAGAGGACAAAGAGCCGTCAGTCTCAGGTGGAGCTGCTGCTCAGACTCTCCCTACACTCACAGAGACTGACACGGGAACCATGAGGATAACGTGAAGGTAAGAATCATGATGACTTTGTAATGTTGAAATCTTTTAATTAGGCCTATTTATTTTCTTGTATTATTTATTTTGTTGGCAGGCCCAAAGGAAAGTGTAAAAATGATTACAGGACACTCTGACTTTGTGAAAACTAAATAGAAGATTTAATCTAAGCCTTAATATATTATTTAAAAAACATAGCTTTACATGAAAGTCTGTATACTATAACCTTGGCCTATATGATGGAGTTAATCTAACTGTATTTGTATGATTTGATTAACAGTGTTTGTGGTGCCAAAGCTCATTCTTGTTGTGGGGATTTTGACTGGATGTCTCCATGTGAAGGACTGGGAGTCATGACAGACTTGTGGTTAATTTCTGTCCCTTTGGACAAGGCCAGTTTAATCAGTGTAGAAAAACTCAAGCGCACTATAGCCAAAAAGAACCTCGCCTCCTGCTGCAGGTTCTCCATTCCAGAGCTCAAGGTAAGATTTTGCATCACCTACAGTATACGAGGAGCTTGAGGGATCTAAAGTAGAGTATAAACAAAATAGATATTCACACAAGGACCAGACATGGAACAGTTTCATCATCAAATAGAAGAAGAAGAAGAAGAATTGCATGTGTATGTTAGATCTGGGTTTGTACAGTATAGAGAAGCCGAAGAGGCTGATGGTGTTTGGTGTCCTTCTCTGGTGAAGCTGCACAGGCTCAGGTTGCTCTCTGCAGTTTGAGGCAAAATTTCCATCTGACCCATTTCACTCAAGGTGATCTGCTCACCTGCTCACATTTTAACTGCAGTTTTCCATTCGTGAGGGGTTCAAACATTTAAACCCTTGTAATGGGGAATGGAAAGTGAGTTTTGCCCCTTTTAAAAAAAACCAAGACACACTGTAGTGTTGCTTGTGTGATTTGAGCTCTCTGGGATGTCGAATCGATGACACAGTAACACTAACTGTGCTGTCTGTGCTGTGACCTCAGGTGGGAATACTGGACAGTCTGCTCAGCGTGTCAGATGATCTTTCCAAGCTTGACACACTGACTGAGAGGTAAAAAAAAAAAAAAAGGCTGAGAAAAATGAACCAGCCTGAAAATGTACTCACACTCTGTTAATCCACATAAAAGCTTTTTTTTTCTTAGTGCCTAATTAATATTTACACAATTTTTTGTCCTTAAATAAGTCACATAACTTTGAGCTTGTGGTCAGTCTGTTTCATGACTAATTGATGGCCAGGGGTAGCTGACGGTTAGTTTTCCCGTCTGATTTTAAATTCATTGTTTACTTGAGCGGGAGTGGTGTAGGCTTGGGTATTAAAGTATTTCTGCAACATCAAAATCTGGCTAAACTTGACAGACTTTCCCTCATACATTGGTCCAATCTCTTTGTTTAGATTTGGATGAATTGTTTTCTGAATCTCTCTTCAGCTAGAGGCCTAATCCTGGATCGATAAAACCCTCATTCCACATTAACAGTTCATTGTAGGCCTCAGTGTCGAATTTGAATAAAAGACATTTCCAGGAAATGAACTTTGAGAAGTTGTGACTTAATGAATACCATTTAAACTATGATGTTTTTCCTGTTCCCTGGTCAGTGTGATTAAAAAAACCTATCAGTGTATGAGGGAGGTGATGGAGCAGTCTGATGACAAAGTGCTGGAAAACGCCTTAGCCAATGGAGGTGAGTCACAAACACACACACAAACACACACACCCATACATAATGAGGGTGTTAATTACAGCGTATAGAAACTCATTCAGTAAGTGCACAGAAGCCCTAGGCTGTATGAGCACTACTTAAAGCAAATTCTATATGCATGTGTACACACACACACACACACACACACACACACACACGCACACGCACACGCACACGCACACACACACACAAATGCTGAATGGCTACAGGACTTTTTACATTTGTGTTATATTGACGTTTTTATGTAAACTTGTTACAGAAGGAGCAGTAGTTACACAACCCTCCAAAGGAGCCATATGTAAACAGTGCAAGTGCACACATGCATTTCAACATAGGTACACTCCAGTACTAGTAAAAATAGCTCTACAACCTGTTGAATGCATTTAGCTCTTCACTAGTTAACTTTTTGCGTGAAGATTTTGAGTAGTGTGCTGTTTTGTTGGTAACATATCTTACTTTCACTATTCCACTAGGAAGGCCAAAATGACCAAAACTAGTGCAGATAGTGGATATTTAACCAATACTTGAAAACATTTTTGAGCATCAAAAGTTTAGTAGTAGACCCCCTCTAGTGTCACATTGACTGTAACAAATAAACTATATCAGCACAAATACATGTTCATTGGCGTAACTAGTTTAAAATAGACTTCAACTAGTTACCTACGGGTAGCTGCAACCCGTCAAGCCAACACGTTAACTAGTATGCAAAATTATGAAATGAAGTCCTCGATAAAATAAAAAAAACTCTGTCCTGATTTAAAGGTTTCTTTTCTTTATTTTAAACCTGAGAGCCAATAGAAAGCCTCAATTAACACTTCCTCCCCATCTCCTCACTATCATTCTGTGCAAATAGTTTGACTAGTGAGCATCTTGGCCTTCACCACTCCAACTAGCAAATGCTGTAATCATTTCAATAATTTACTTCTTAGATCTAAAACAGCTTCACCAGTGCAACTAGTGACACTAGCTGACATTTTTGGCTCGTAGTAGTTAACAAGCGAAAAATGTTTTGCTCTTACCAGTTAACTAGTACAAATTTTTAACTCACTTGTTAATTAGTTAGGACAAAAGGAACATAACTAGTGTTACAAGAGGACATTTAAGCTCTTTCTAGTCAACTAGTAAACATTATTTAGCCTCACTAGTTTAATAGTAGAGTTAAAGGTCCCCAACTAGTTTTATGATTGGCTCTTACTAGTTAACATGTCATATCTTTCTCTGCCTAGTAGTTAATAGTGAACTAGTGTGTCACAGGCTGTCCTTGTGCAGGTAACTGACACTCGATATCAAGGACATCAAATAAATGCTCACATGGCTTTCCATACATCCACTCCTCCATACATTTTCACAACACCTAACCCTTAACACTTTGTATTAGCCTCCTCATACAAATCCACAGCTGATCAACACAGACCAGGCTAACCAGCTTCCCTCATGACTTTCCCCATCAGACCACGGCGTGACGCAGAGAGCCGTCCTGTCGCCCCTGAAAGCGTACCTCAAGTCTCTGAGGGGTAGTTTATCTACTGGCAGTGTGCTCTTTGAGCTGGAGTGTTGTGTGGGTTTTTTTTACATGCATGTTTTTGCAATGGAGCTGCACCATGAATCTCAAGATTTATACAAAATTACCCGAGGCAATGTGCAATTTCTGAATGCAATAAAGTGCAATACTTTGATGAATATGAAGTTTGGGACAATCAATCATTATAATGAAGGATGAGAGTGCTGCAGATATGTCCTTGCCTTCAAATGATTTTTTCGGAATATATGTTTTTGTCATAGCATCATCTTTCTTGGTTGTTGAAAATTACCAATATGATTGCACTCAAAATAAATGTCACATTTCAGTATTTTGATTCTTGTGTAGCACTAGTTTTTGTCCTGATCTTTTTTCTAAATGACACTTCTATATCATAGAGTAGTGGTGTGTTTTTTTCCATCTGTGCAGTTTTTTATGTCTTTTAGAACAGATCTGACTCTCTGTCTGTTTTTTGTTCCTCAGTGGATCTGATGAGCTATGTGACAAAGTTTCAGTGGGACAAAGCCAAGTATCCCACAACTCTGCCTCTGTCCAGCCTGGCAGACATCATCAACAAGGTACCAATATTTATACAGGGAGGATTTAGGAAAAGCCTTGCCTTGTGACAAATCATTAGTTGATTCTTAAATCATCATCTATAAAGCATTAAAACATAACTCATAAACACAGTTATAAATGTTGAATTATTGATAAATAGGTAAATCTATAATTTCTTTACTGATTCTATATTTACACTTTATAAATGATGAATTCACCATATTTAAATGAACTATTACATCCAGTACAAATCAGTTATGAAGGACATGGTATAAAGGAGTGGTTCATACATTTATTGAACATTTTTTAGTTAATAATTATCAAACTATTTAGATGTTTATGCATGTTACACAAATTATGGACAACATAAACTACAAACTACATTGTAAGATTTTCAATCAATTTAATATTTAAAATTAATTCTGCCAAAAAGAATGTACAAAGCTGTTGAAACATGATATCTACTTTTAAAGAAATGGCCTGGTGCTTTCTTTCTTAAGACCCATGAATTAGATTAAAAACAACAAAATGCAGTGCACATTTTAAACATTACTTTAAAGCAAAGAAAAGTTAATATTTTCATGCATAGAAAAGGTGAACAAGTCACCATGAGCATCAAAGCCTCCGTGGCTAAACAAACACGGGAAAGAGTTACTCATAGGAGCTCAAACATTACATACCTTACATGTACCTTTAAATGACTTCTGTCTATTTCAGTTTACATAACTCAGCAGTGGAACCAGGATAAGTCCAGAGTCCTGCGTGTAGAGGCTGAGTGAATGTGGTCTGGACTCTGTGGAGGAGAGTCATGGTTTTAGAGATGCTGTAGAAGGACAGGGTACCTGATCCAGGTACACTCCTACTCTGGAGGACTGAGGACCTGAGACAGGAGTGCTGACGTTGTTGTACCAAAATTTATACCTGTTGTCGTAACAATCTAACGCCCAAGATTTGTCATTGTATCCAAATCCACATGCAGACCTCCCCCCTCTGCTGATATTCTTGTATGCGACTGCTACATAAACTCCATCTCTCCACTCCACCTCCCAGTAACAGCGTCCAGTCAGACTCTCTCTACTCAGGACCTGACAACATACAGTGAATCTGTCTGGGTGACTAGAGTAAGACTGGTCTTGACCGATTTCTCTTACTTTTCTGTTCCCTTTAGATAAAAACATATGTGCATTTGCTGTGTTTGGATCCAGTGTGATGTCACAGGAATAGTGTAAGAACTCAGCTCTGGTCTTGGGCTCTGGTTGTGGCAGTAAAACATCCACTTCAGTAACTCTCTGTGAGATGTTTGTCCAATTCTCTCTCAGGACGTCCTGTAGTTTATCTCTGACTTCTGACACAGCCGCTGTCACGTCCTCAAAGTACCTCAGAGGACGGATATTGATTCTGGATGCGTCCGTAGATTCACCGGGTCCTGACAGAGAAGGGTAGTTGTGTAGAAACTGGTTGTGGTCCTCTGTGTTTGAGAGCTTCTCCAGTTCAGCGTCTCTCCTCTTCAGCTCAGTGATCTCCTGCTCCAGCTTCTCCTGAAGCTCCCTGACTCGACTCACTTCAGTTTGCTGCTGGGATCTGACCTGCTGCTTCACATCAGAGCGTCTTTTCTCCATGAGTCCGATCAGCTCGGTGAAGATCTCCTCACTGTCCTCCACTGCTTTATCAGCGGAGCCATTGATAGCCTCTGACTCCTGTTGAAGCAGCTTCACATCTTTCTCTCTGTCCTGGATTCTCTGCTGGATGTTTTGTCCACTCACCTCCAGCTCTCTCTGCTTCTCTGTCCTCTCTACTGCAGCTGAGACTGTGTCATGACCTTTGTGTTCATCCACAGAGCAGAGATAACAGATAGACTGCTGATCAGTACGACAGAACATCTTCATCACCTCATCATGACGAGAGCAGACTTTCTCCTGGAGCTTCTTGGAGGGCTCCACCAGCTTGTGTTTCCTCAGTGGAGCTGCTTCAAAATGAGGCTGGAGGTGTTTCTCACAGTAAGAAGCCAGGCACACCAGACAGGACTTTTGAGCTTTCAGTCTTCTCCCGGTGCAGACATCACAGGCCACATCTTCAGGTCCAGCATAGCAGTGATCAGCAGGAGCAGCTTGGAGTCCAGTCTTCTTCAGCTCCTCCACTAAAACTGCTAACATGGTGTTTTTCATGAGGACAGGCCTCGGTGTGAGGGTCTGCCTACATTGAGGGCAGCTGTAGATTTTCTTCTCCTCCTCTTTATCCCAGTGGCTTTTAATACAGTTCATGCAGTAGCTGTGTCCACAGGGAACAGTCACCGGATCCTTCAGTAGATCCAGACAGATCGAACAAGAGAAGAT